GACTTATTATTGACCTTGTTCAGTTGTTTTCTTACTTGCTTTGCTCTGTGAGTAACACCATTTTGAGGTATAAGCAGCTACGTAAATCCGGCCATTCCACCCACCTCCGAGTACGCACCTATCTTTAGCAATCTGTCATGTGTGAGACTCCCCTCCCACTCATCAGCTGCGGTTAATTGCGTTAGTCGTTTCATTAATGATGGCTGATTGTTTTATTGTGTTGCTTCGTCAAAGCGGCCTGGACGCCCCAGTGGCTGCTGAACCGTCTGTATCGATAAGCTTTTGTCTATGATTCTGTGTGGAAGTGTGTTGAAGTGCATATGTGAGCCCAGTCTGCTTCATATTGATAACAAGTCGGACCAAAATACTGCTGTTTTGAGGAGGGGGGGTGTCCAGTCGGTTCCACCAGGGCCTCTGAGTCTATGAGGGTGTATCTTCGACAGTGCGGCCATTTTGATAAGGTCTTTGCTGCGGTCCGTGCTGGGCAAAAGGGTAATTAACAGGATTAGGCATGTTGCGTATCTGTTATCCCACTGAACACAGTTAACCTGCTGGGATTACCACAAACACTCATTAACGCATCCGCAGCGATAGCTTCAATCTACCGGTGCTATGAGCAGAAGTTAGCGCTGATAGTAAGTGATGCTGCCTGTCCAGTAATTACAGATCGCTGCATCATTAGCTCCAAACGTGCTAAGGTTAAACTAATGACACAGACCGTACATTTGATAGTATTAACAGTAGACAACGTGGCCATTATAATTATGTGGATCATTCATTGGTTTCAGACTGAAGAAGAAGGTGGAGGAGAGAGAGTGATCCCCTCCGAAGAAGCGAGTGATGGGATGAGAAGTGTAGGGCAGACAGACAGTGTTGGGTCTGTGTGTGTGTGTGTGTGTGTGTGTGTGTGTGTGTGTGTGTGTGTGTGTGTGTGTGTGTGTGTGTGTGTGTGTGTGTGTGTGTGTGTGTGTGTGTGTGTGTGTGTGTGTGTGTGTGTGTGTGTGTGTTTTGTGTTGAATGAGTGAGAGGAGTTGGAACCCGTCTGCTTACTGTTTATGTTGTATCCTCGTTGGTTTTTGTGAATGTGTACACACGTTTGAAATAGATATTTTGGACTGATTGGGAAGATTTTTTTTTATTCTGAAACCCAGCCGTCAATTGCAGTCAAAATGAATATTACTTTAGCCTTTAAATCTTTGCTCTTTTGAACTCAAGATGCATTGGAAAGACTCAACATGTTAACGTGTTGAATTTGAACTCGTGACCAATTGAAGCTTGTTTATATTTGACATATTTGTCTGCTCGAGGGGGTCAAATACGGGCACTATTTCACAACAAGGGTCAGTGGAGCTGGTCAGTCAGATAAGACGATCATGTGACCTGCGTGAGCCAATGGCAGTGCAGCAGATTGGACAGTGATGGAGTGAGGAGATATGCAGGTCACGATGGCCGAACGTAGACCTCACAAGATCATGAGACGAGGTTCTGGCCTCAGACTTGTATAAGGCTGTTCTTTTGCTATGTACGCCCTGTGGATCACAATTACTGTAATTTCCAGATTATAAACCGCTACATTTTTAGTTATTTGAATCCTATGGCTTATATAGCAATGCGGCTTATTGTAGTAGAGTTTATGAACATGACCAGTTAAAACAGTCATTCATGTGCTACATTACAACTTGAAAACTTGTGTGGCCTATATGTGGACAAAATTTAATTTATGTTTTAAATGTTGCTAGTGCAGCTTATACAAGTGCACCTAATAGTCCAGAAAGTACTTTATGTGTTTTGAGAATATGTTATTGATACATTACAACCATTTCCTAAAATTATATACTATATTTGTTTAATTTACTCTCTTCCACTAGCGCATTAATTTGTTATTTATTTGAATCTGTCCAAAATTACCCTGTATTATTTTTCAAGTATTTGTTGTTTGTCAGAAGTGTTATGTTATTATAAGTTAATTTGTCCCCTTGCTGCAAACCTAAAGGTGAAATGGAGACCCACCTTTAGCCTGGGTCATTTGATCAAACCCTGATCTCCATCTGAGCCCGTAGCCCCGCTCAGCTCCTGTTGCGTCTGGCGCGGTGTCGTGATCTCTGTGGACCGCGGACGAAGACTTTTACTGTAACTCAAACCGGACCAGACCTGAGATCCACGACTCCCATGTCCAATGATACCTGTCATTTTACACTCCTCCGTGTGCTCACCTTGACATGTTTCTGATCTCCCTCCTGCACCGGGTGACAATATTCAATAATGTCTGCTCATGTTAAAGTAGTATGTTGCACATCAGGACAGGAGCTAGCACTAATGATGATATAATCCAGTGTTTTTCAACCTTTTTTGAGCCAAGGCACACTTTTTTCACTGAAAAAATCTTGCGGCACACCTCCAGGAGAAAATGTAAAAATGTATACAGTACTAATGTAAAAATATATACTGTACATACTCTGTGTGATATATAAAGTATATCTTATCTTATCTTATAATGTATACAGTATACTCTGTAGCCTATATTCACAATATACAGTTATTCTCATCAAAATGCTTAAGTCCAGGCCTTGACATTAAGCTTTATTTAATATTTCTCGATACAATTAACAAGAGTTTGGGAATAAAGTGGCACTAACTGTGTGGAAAAAAACTAAGAAAATCCACTCTCTGTCCAAATAGTCAAATAATAACTCACACAAAGAACATGCATTGTTAGTGCATGGGAAAAATTTAGGTATCCGAGCTTTAAATTCAGGAGTTTTGGATGAGGGACACGGGAGGTCCTGAACGCGAGTCCATGGTTCTGTCCGGTCCGCATGTCTGTGGTTCTGTCCACTCGACTATGGTCTGCGCTCGGTACCCAGTTCAGAAGTGCGTTCGCGAGAGCTGTTGTGCAAAAATTGTACATTTCATAGTCAAACCACTACAACGCGGCCACAGCTGCCCCGGGGCAGAGCGGAGGATGTTAATCCTGTTCAGAAACGGCATAATTCATTTTCAAAAACGTCTCTATCACTTTCACTTCTCACTCGCAACAAAGCTCTTGTCTCGATCCCTCCCACATTTGTTGGTCGCATCCAATTTTACCTTTCTCGCCACAATGCTGACCTGTTACAGCCAGTGGTCGCATCCAATTTTTCAGTTTCAAAGTACTTAGCTATCTGCTGCCATCTACTGATTTGAAAAAGTATTACATGGTTACTCCACAGTTCAAAACAAGTCACCGCTCGTCAACAGCGAATGCAGTTATTTTTAGACAAAGTAGACGAATTTCTCACGGCACACCAGACAATATCATACGGCACACTAGTGTGCCGCGGCACAGTGGTTGAAAAACACTGATATAATCTATTGTTTTGTAGTCGGAAGAGAAGGACATACAAGCATAACACTATGAAAGAAACTAATTTGTCTGTGCTTATTTTATTTTCTATTATTCTAACTGTACTTATTCTGTGACATTTTCCCTCTTGTCACTGAGAGAAAATCTTTTGATGTGACCAAACTCACAGCAAACTTTGTAGTCCTACTACCGACACCATGTTTTATAAATCATCATGGACTTGTCTGCACAGCACGTCCCTTTCAAACCACCCCCACCCCATCCCGTTCATAACCCCAGCAGCAGCAGTTGTGGGAAAGCCATTTTATCAGCGTCTGTCCGTTGTTCTCTGGTGGGGATAGATACAGAGAAGATAGATGAGTGTTTTGACATGGAGAGTGTTAGACAAACACTCTTATCGGCCCGCCACTTTAGACCGACCCCCTGGAACAGCCGCCTCAGCTACGGACAGCACACAAGGAGCGAGAGGAGGGAGAAGGTGAGCGCCGTGCCCTGGTTTCATCACACTTGTCATATGGAAACATCAAGGAGATCCAGGACAATGTGAGACTGCAACATCTAAGCGCATATAGTTGTATTGTTGTTCTAAAGTTGCACATGTTCTGATTCTTGGAGAAATTTGGGTCTTTTGGGTCTTGGGTCTTCACAATTAGGAGTTACAGTCACAGTGTTGTTGTTTGGTGGTATCAGTCTTGTGATTTATTATGAAGACAAAATATCAAGTTAACTGACACAATGACCTTTCCAGTATCAATATGTGATTTATTCGTTATTTTCATTACCCTCACATTACTTATCCAATATTGATCGTAGTCATACCCAAAATAATTGAGTGGCTCATCAATAATATAAGATGTTTTTTAACAAGCTGCCTCGTCCGATAGTAATGATGATAATAATGATAATAAATAATAATTCAATTCATATTTTCTGGTCAAACAAATACTGTGTGTGCATCATTGAAGCTGTATTCAAGCGGTTTTGAAATTGTAAATACACACATTTTTGGTTTCTATTCAGCTGTCATACTGACCTTGTGGTTACATGTGGTTGGACTTGGTGGAGTTTAGTTTGATGGATCCAGCTCTATCAGTCCTGCGCAGACTCACACCACAGCCGTTACTGCCATCCGTCTGCATTTATCAATGTGAGGAAGTGGGAAAGTATAAAGACACAACTTTCCTGGTCCAAACTAAAGGCAGGACGGATTCTGCGTTCTGTGTGCAGTGCACCCCCTGCTGTTGACTTTGACCTGATTTCCCCATGATCCTCAAAACACAGAAAGCACTTAAGCTCATAGTTTTCTAGGTTTTTCTTTTTCATCCACGTATGATATTACACAGAACATGCTACTCTATTCTGTTTTTTTCATTCTGATGTTAAAGATACTGTAATTTAGGCTGTAGCTATAATCTACGTATGTCTGTATCACACTTGCATATTTGATATTGGTGTGTTAGTTTATGCCCGCCTCATTGCTGTACATGTTATTATGAATGTATATCAGATAAAAGAAAATGGTTGAAATCAGTAACTTATAATTAGCTAATTTCCAGTTTGCAGATAAGAAGGATAAAACATTAACAAATATAAACATTTATACACTGAAGTTTGCATCATAGGTCTTAAACATCTTCCATTTCTTCTTGTCCCGCAGATGAGCTGCAGATGAGTGAAGAAGGCGGTGTTTGCACCATCTGCACTTGCAGGCCTCTCCAACAGGACACAGAGTGGGGGCCCTATCCTGGAACAGTCCAATCAGAGAGCAGCACAAAGAACCAGGAAGCACAGGTAAGATACAAGAAGAATTTGTATTCGTTATTCACTTACACACAAAAGAAACAATATAGATGTAATGTAACAACGTATTATTATAGTACATTGGCTACCCTTTCATACGTTGAACCCAAAAAATCTTGAGAAATTCCAAACTTCAAAGGTCTTTTTTTTAATAGCTGCTGATAAAATGATGTGTGAATGATGGGAACCTTTTGGTGCACTCCTTGAGAACAGTGTGTGGGAGCGGATAGTGCTCTGTCATGTGTATGTCCATCTAATCACATGATAGCGGATTCTTGGCACGGACATAGGTGCTTGTTTGGTTACTAATGTCTTACCATTTCTGTCTGCTTTGAGGCAAAAATTCCGACTAAAATGACTGTATTTTTGCTTTTGCTCTCCCTTACCATCAGTGCACACCATAGGTCATCACTTTTGCTGAGCTAGCCGTGTTGACCCGGTCCACATCTGAACCTACTGTATCCAGTTTCTTCCTGACTCCCCCCCCCCCCCCCCCCCCCACACTCTCCTCTCCCCCTGGCCCTCCCCAGACGTCCGCCTGTCGTTTATCTCCACATGGCGCCATCCTCCTGCACAGCAAACCCCAGTGATTGATTCCTGCTTGATAGGCTCTCATTTCGAAGATTCACTTTATTATCAGTCAGGTTGGGATGGACTGCATAGATGTGTGTTGCGTGTATGGATCAACTTTTGTCTCTTTGAGCTGCCCTTTTGTGACCGAGCGCTTCTTCCCATCTTATATCCGTATGGAAAGTGGCTCAAATGACCTACATAAAAAACAATTTCTTCTTCCTTCATCCTGGACCCTCCATGGTCTGTACTATCGGTTGATGGGGAGTGTGGAGACGGACCTTCACTATCTCAGGCTGATAGAGCCTAATCACATTCCTCCTGTGTTTCTCTCCCTGTCACTCGGAGCACCCACCCCCCTCCGTCTGCTGGACTGGGCCGGTCAGCACGGGTCAGGGTTGTCCACTGTGTCCTCATGTGTTCCTTTGGAGTTGTTAGTGAGTTATCTGCGGGAAGGCAAATCTAAATGATAAGTTGCATAGTTTATATTTGTAATGTTCTAGTCAGGAACAGAAAGCAAGTTTAAGTTTGTTCTGGCACCAAAATGAAAAGGAACAAAAAACTCATGCTCCAAATATTAGGAGGCGACTGACCGAGTGCTGACGTCACCCATAGTCTCAATGCGGAAGAAGTAGATTTGAACATATGCTAGCTGGAGCCAATTTCCTTCCTCATCTCTTCCCCTGTTAGACGTGTTGCTAAGATGTTTGCTAATGCTAATGCAGCGCCCCCTTTAACACATCTGATTGGTTAATCCTTATATGTCTGGGTTTCCAAAGACAATATAAAACTATAAACACCAGACTCCATTTTTTATCATGATTTTGCCTTGTACACACACAGTTTGGCCTAATAAATAATGAATCGGAATTGATAAACATTAGAAACCTTTCTTGTGGATACTGACGCGTTGCTAAGATATTTGCTTATGCTGATTATCAAAGGAAAGGAACCAAAAAAAGAACCACTGGGAACCTGAACCAAAAAACTAAAATTCCATACGTTCCTAGTCATGACACAGTCGGTCTTTAAATATTTGGAGGATTATCTGAGTAGGGAACGTGCAATAAATCATAAATCTATTACTAGCCAACACATTTTGCACACATTCTTTGTTGTACCATTCGCTTTTCCAGTTTTTTTTTTTACCACCCTGACTTTCCCATTTTAAATCCAGTTTTTTCCTGGTCTTGTATCTGCCTCTCTGTCAGTGGTGATCCGCGCTGGGCTCCGGGCCCCAGGCGATGCCCCTGCCTCTGTGGGTGAGATTGGCATGGCCCGCTTTGCAGAGCTCTTCCCCTCCAGCGTCGCCCTGCCTCTCTCAACTTCTCTCTCTGCAAATTTACTTCTTATTTGGCGCATCCAGATAAGCTATCAGTTAAATACGAGGCCTACCCAGCAACATAGGCAGCTGGAAATTGTGTTTGCATGTGCATAAGCTCCCGTGCTCTCACCAAGGCTACATACGTATGAAGTGTACATTGGATATGGGTCATCCAGAAAAAAAAAATACTGTGCTTGTTTTTTTGTTTATTTTGTTTATCTTTCAAACATGAACACATAAACAGACAATGGTCCAGGACAAACCCGATTAAAAAATAAAATAAAAACTCAAATAGAAATGTTTAAGCATGGTGGTGCAGCTGGGCCTCCTGGGTTGATTCCACCTCCAGACGGGGCCTTTCTATATGTTCTCGGCGTGTTTGGGTAGGTTTCCTCCATGTGCTCCGGTTTCTTAGTTCTGGAAAGCACCTCCTGACAAGCGCCTCCTGTACAGAAACCTCACTTACTTAACCGTGTGGAGTGAGAGGAATAAAGCGATTTGTGACTCTTAAGATTAAAAACAAATAAAGATGACTTCAATTGGTCTATGAAGCCAATTGAGCCATACATACACAGCCAAACATACATCTGCAAGTTAATTTAATTATTTATTGTGTGTTTTAGATAAGATTTTGAACAATAATCATGAGACACAGACGCTAAGATACTCTAAGTTGCTATCGTCATCCAGAAAAAACAAACAATAATCACCAACTCATTAATCAGGTGAGGACATGTGTAAAGCAGCGATGTGTCTTCACAGCACACACCCTTGATACGAAAAAACACCATGTGGACACAAAACCCTGGCTCCGCACAGAATAACACGTGCCAATGCTGCACGTATGGACACATTTTGTTTGAAGCAGATGAGCTCCATCCTGGTCTCCCACTGGGTCCTCCTTGGTGTGATTAAACTTGTGGTAACCAGCCTGTGTCGTATGGAAATCCTCCAATTTGCATGTTTTGAGAAAGCAGCTCGAAACCATTTATCTATTTAAATATATTCTGTGTGATATGGGTGTTGGACTTTACAACAGGCTATAATCATGTTTACTGATGCACTGATGAGCGGCGGTGGATTCCTCAGGCTTTGTGCTTGAGTGAACAGCATGTCTACCTCTCCTAACCTCCCATGGCAACGTCAACTCTTGGTCTGATTGGATCACAGTCAACACATCTGATATTATATCTCCTGTGTCTGATTGGTGCAACTTTCATTAACTGATAGTTAAAGGGCATGTGATGAGACCAAAGTTTACACAGGGGCTGTCAAATTTTGGCTTTGACTAATAAAATGCAATATGCTGATAACCTTTCCTCAACTACTGAATATTTCTATAAACAAACTAATCCCTGATCTAATTCCTGTTTTGAAGATTAAACCCAGAGTTTTACACTACCAATGCTTGACCCATTTCATTGGTTTACTATATAGATAAACGATCAAAAGACAAGGGTAAAAGGTATATCATGAGATTAAGAACATCGAACCCTTATTAATCCATACATTGATGAAAAACTGAAGCATTGTGAAGTGTATCTTAGAAACTTGGGTGATGTGTGAGATGGAAGAGCAGCCTTGTGATTGGATCATAGAAAATACATCAGATATTCTATCACAGTGCTCTGATAGGATCCCCTTTAATTAACTGATATAGTCAAAGGCCTCATGATTGGACAAAGCTGTGGGACTTGTGGCGTAGCTTTGAAGAGCGCATTGAGATGGCCAGCCTGTTGCTTGTCCACAGTGAAGCCTCCTCATCCTTGTTGTGGTCCCTTCTGCAGCAGCAGCAGCGCTGTGTGTCGTGGAACAGCAGCCTGGAGGCATGATCCTAGAAGGAGCCGAGTAGGGGAGTTCAAAGCGTTATCACGCACTGAACGTCTTTTCATCATGTTTTAGAAACAAGCGTTCGCACTAATCCCCCAATAATCTCTGCAGGAGAACTGTGCCGATAAGGCGCGCCACCCACGGCTTTTCAAACACTTTTTGGTAGTGTCTCTTCTCTCTATCTCCCCTGTACCTCCTCACTCACTTCAGCCTCCTGGAAGGACGACTCAAGGTGATCAGTGGCTTTCGCTCATCAACTGTTTGTTTACATCCCGATCATCATCTCCAAATGTTATCTGGTCTCATCAACTGTGTTTTTCTGTCTCCTCCGCCCATCAAATTAGAATGTTAATTAAAACGCTGCTCCTTCAGAAGATGACAAATCGATGATTAGACAGAGAGTGGTGACACCTTCAATGATGCCCCCGAGAAGAGGAACAAACAAGACGCAAACACGCACGCACAAGATTGTACCTGAACATCGGCTTCGTTAAATTTGCTGCTGCAAAAGTTTTCAAAGATTAGCAATGTTCAAAATGTGTAATGTGTTAAATAAAGAAAAAAAAGAAATCACAGGGTTAGTGTGAACCCATATTGTCTAAAAAAAATTGTTTTCAAATTATAACATAATTGATCCGATTTGGGGAGATCTAAAAATATGCGTTCTTACAAGGCAGTCCAGGAATTATAGGAAATGTCCTTCTTTTTGCCAAGAAGAATGCGTAGCTTCCAAGCCCAGAGGCCTTTTTTCCCGAAAAAGCTATAATCTACATTTACTAAGGTTTCATATAGTATTTAGCCAGATATGTGGCCAAACTTGGTACCAAATTACCTGGTGGACCTTGGGGATTGCTGTGGAAGTGAAAAAAGATGATAAATTGTATTGGTTGCCAATAAAATTAGGTTGAAACAGACAATTCTAACTTCCGCCTAAAAAAAAAACACATATTTTCCCTCAAAAAAGCTTTTTCCCTGTCTGTGGTGTAGCAAATAAGAACTAAAATTGACAGTTCCCGATATTTTGGACCAGTCCAGCAAAAATTGTGCCAAATAAACAAACCACTGCAGAGTTGTACATGGAATTGGAAAAAAAGTCCAGGCGGAATCCAACTGTGCCAAAATTGTGCCAAATGGCACAAACATGTCTGTAGAGTCATCGAGATAAACTTTGGCACCCGGTTCCCTAGCAAGAAGCTCTACAACCTCCTCGCGTGTATAACGCTGTTTTGCCATTTTTAATTTCGTCAAAATTCCGAGTACCTGCCGT